GTCTTCTGTGGGAGCCCAGAATTTGACATGCTCAATCTGCTCCGTCCTTTCTCGCCTACGATCCGCGGCTCGTGGTGACCTGCTCCTGTGTCCGCGTGTAAACCTCGTGCCATACGGCCAGCGCAGTTTCAGGGTCTCCGGCCCAAAGACCTGGAACACGCTACCAGCTCATGTTCTGGATCCATCCCTGAGTCTGAGCCAGTTCCGCAACAGACTCTACCTAAGGCCTACCTTGGCTCCTCCCACCCTCAACCAGTATATATACAAGGACTGTTTTCTTGGAATTTCTCTTACTTGATACAGCTATCGTGCTGTGACGGTTTCACCTGAAGACGGAAGCTTGTGTTGCCTCCGAAACGTCGTGATTTTTATTTTATTTTTATTTACTTTTATTAATTTAAATTTTTCACCTACGTGAATTTACCGAAAAAAACTAAGAATATGAATACGACTCAAAACGGTGTTGTTTCAAAGAGCCCACTCCAACGCGTGATCAATGCGCATTCGTGATGGACTGGACTCATAAGAGTACGCAATATCAAATGTTCTTATTTGAAGTTAAGGATCTCAGTGCTGTTGGTTCAGTCCTGGGATACAGCATCGGCTACCCTTTGAATCATTCAGCCACCTTTCTTTATCTTAGTTGAGCTTTAGAAAGTCGCACGGGAGGGTGGCTTTTACAAAAAATAAATCCAATAACAGGTGCAAATCATTGCACTAAAAAGAACACAGCAATAATATACTGTACTGTATACTGGAGGCCACGTAAAAAAATCACCAACGTGATTCTCAGCACCTTCCCATATCTAGCAGCAACATATCAGCAAAGGCAGTCAAAGAACTTTACCAATGAAAAGTTAGCATCATCTCCGGATTCTAAGAAGCTCCAGTAAGTTAGGCACTGCCACAACACTTTAAACTAGAGCTGGGCGGCTTAATTGCAAAGTGCATAATTAGTTAACCCATTGCGAGAGGGAGCAGCGCCTCAGTTAAACATACTCGACATTCAACGATTCGGCACCGACCCCGCAGCAATTCGATGCCTTGTGTCGATTTGCGGTTGTGGTGGACCTTCAGAAATTCATTCAGTTTTGCTCCACATGCTCAGTACGACCCAAAACCCCCACAGAGAGCGAGGCAGCACAACCGCAAAGACCAACAGAGGATGATTTTGAAGTATCGTTAATGGGAAAAGTTCCTGAACTGATTCAGTTGCTGAAGAAGCTCCCAGGATGTGGAGTGTAGCACGGACATCATGCTGAACAACTTGCAGTACAGCCCGAAAACACATCAGGGAAATTCAAACTCTTGTTGGACAGATCCATAGTCACAGCCTATATTGGATTCGATATGAAAATCATGCATTTGCTTTTCGGTTGATACTTTCTGCAATACAGATGCTGGTAAAGAACATTGGCCACGCAAAACATCCCCATTAAGAGACTAATTACTCCAACCTCCGTAGGCTTATCTGAAAGTACGGTGGTAAATAAAAATGTTTTTTTAGTGCACTTATTGGTAACCAGGCTGAGACCATAGACTTGAGAATCTGGTTTAATAATGACGCTTAATCGGGCAAAAATTCCAGCTCAAGAATTAAACATATCGGGTTGACTGTCACGTGACGAGCATTATACTCTAGATTCGGGTGGTTGGGAAAGTGCTGCCCTCTGCGGTGCGGCCAAAAGGTCACTTGAAGGGGTTTCAGGAGTTCTCTCTTTTGTGAGACATTCTCCAACACGAATGAATACACTGCTCTGTGAGAGATGCGAATGGATTTTTAATCTCGTGACAATATAAGGGGCCGCCCATAAATGACGTCACGTGATCTTGGACGATTTTTGACCCCCCCCCCCATCGTCACAAAGTCAGATCTCCCCTCAAATATGACGCCACAAAGCTCTGCCCCCCCTCCCCCCTAAAATATATAAAACAAGCTTCAAATCGCTGTAAACTATTGTCATTGTAGTGCGTATTTAATGTGGCGCTGCACTCTGATGTTGTAGGAGAAAACATTTATTAAAAAGTCTATTTAATTAAGTAGAACGTGTTGTCTATATTTATTAAAAGTTGCGCATTTTGATGTGACGTCACATTTATCAAACCCCTCCCCTCGTCACACATCGTCACAAATGTCTGACCCCCCCCCCCCTAGGTGCGTGACGTCATTTATGGACGGCCCCTAAGAGCACATTCAGGATACAATGTGGAGAAAATATTAATATGTTTCATGCGATATACCCAAGCAATGAACCGAATTGATCGAATCACCTTCCACTCCACTGAAACAGATTGAAACTCACTACGTCGATCAGTTAATATCTTACTTGACATTGTCCCCAGCAAATTACTTCACCCAAAGCTGCTTATGATTGGCTCTTTGAACGGAATTATCTATAGAGCGATTGTAAATTGGGCAAAACATGACTTAATACGGGAAACCCCAATTGGCCAATTTGGTTCGGATAAGTGGAGGTGATAAGGTTAATTTGCATTGCAGAAGGGTCTTCGATTACACGCATCCCATATTTAAACATAAACACCACTGACACATTTATTTTGTATATTCACTTTCATAATAGGAATGTGTTAATCACAGCAATAATGCCCCTTTAAATGGAAATCCAAGACAAAAACAAAATTCCCTTTGTACCCATTTCTTCCTTTCCTCCACCATACAATTCCCCATGACTGATGTCGATGGTTTTGCCCAGAGTCGGGTTCAAGAGCATACCATAATTATTATCAATAGCAACATTTTCAAGCTAACAGTACAGCCATCATGCTCAATGCTGCTATTCTGTGATGAGGAGTCCAAATAAGGATATAATTTATGCATCACTACCGCCGATACGTCATATTTGCTCAAATTTATTTTGATAACCTAAAACAAGAAGACCACAATGCATTCATTTAGGAACTGGTGATAGTGTTTTGCATATTCAGTAGCTGTGTGCATATTACACGTGTTAGTGTGTTGTGACTAACAGAAATGCCACGTTACGTTAAAATGTGGTTCAGCCTCAGAAAGCCCTCTCTAAAGGAGTTATTTAAAATGTTTATTCAATAAGCAGAGCTGATGGTCAAGTTAATTATCATATTACACTGGGTAATCAGTTTCAAATTATGTTATTAATTTAAGCAGATCACAGCACGCAGATTACATTTTTTTGTAATGGATTATGGAGCTGCACTTTGTATACCCTCTATTTGTTCAGGATTTCCTTTACTGGAGATAGCATATCGATGTGTGGTCCATTAAGGGCTTGGTCAATTGTTTAATTCACTAGCCAGTCTGTTATGTGGCTGATGAACAACAGCTAGCATAGTTGCATTCAGGATGCAGCTACACAAACTTAAAGCTTTATTCACAAATGACTTGGCTCTCTAGCAGAAAATGTTCAATCAAATAGCTCAATTATCACTTTCAAACACAACAGCAGGCAACGTTCTTGCTACTTATAACTCAATGATTATGCATGGGGGGGGGGTGTTTAATGCCTATGTGTTATCAGAAAAAAAACCTAGCAAAAAGATTCCATTCCAAACAAAATCCGTACAAATTTGTTTCTAAAACACAGGTAAAAAATGGAATGCTTCGTGGCTAAGCTTGGCCGATTGCCTTTATGAAATCGGACAACAAAATGTGGAGCCGTAATAAAGTGTCATTGTTGTTTTAAGTCAACCAATTTATTGGTTATTGAGATCAACTCAAGCACATCTGTATTTGTGGATTGACTTATTGTCAAGGATGTTACAATAATTATTTACTGTGGTTTTTAAGCAGAGTATTTGACCAGTCTCACTGTTGAGTATTCTGTACAATTCGCTATGTGAGATACAAGGTGCACCTACGATTATCATGGTTGGCTATGTATGGTGCAAAAGAAGTTCAACATACATACAAGTCACCTAGTCATTGTTATAGTGTTCACTGCCAATTTCTCAGATGACAAGAACTTGCTCAGGAACAATTACACCCATGCACGAAACTTGGCATGCACATACAAGTTCACATTTCAAACATCCATTACAAAACCCTAAACTTCAAAAAGTCTAATTATAGGACGTGTCAGTCACACTTTATGATAACATAAAAACTCACAAAATAAAAAAATATATTAAAAAAACCATACGATATCAATAAATGTAGCACAATTATTGTATTTCATAATAATTATGTTCACAAACTCCAAAGATTGTAATACATCATGCCCTAATGTGACAGACAGCCCTTGAGTAATCTCAGGTGAGCTCTTTGTAAACCATCTTCTTTCACTTGTTTTTAGGGGCAATATTTTGACAAATTTACTTGACAGACATCAAATTTCATAAAACACCAAAAGCCCAGGTTATTCAACAGCCTTTGCACAACACAATTCAGACTCTACCCTTTGACCCCAACTCCCATGTCATTTTCCTCTTTCCCAAAATGCCAAGGCATGGTGGTGTGTGCCATCTTTTTTTGTTTCTATATTACTCTACCCTTATCTGCCAATAATGTCTTCAGTTTAAAAGCTCAAATTAAGTGTTAAACCAAATGTGCACAATTGTTTTTTTTTACGTGCAGTCATTGATGATGAATCTAAGGTCATCAGCTGAGCATACATGATACCATGGATTAAGTCTCAAAGCGATTTCATGGATCTTAACTCAGCATCTCTGGTGTTAGTTCGTTGCTCCGGCACGGGCATCACAAGCCTCCCTTGCAGAGCCACACATTAACCAGAATCCGTTTCATAAACCTCATACGTTCATAATTTCCACTCTTGCATGAACAACACAGAACCTCATGCTGTGCAGTTCCAAGGATGTGGTTTCGCAGTGACATGAGAATTTGACGTGCGGCATGAGCCATGTCATATTTTACGAAGGTTTAAAAAAAAAATAAAGACGCTGGTGCACATTTATTGCATGTTTGTCATCATTGTGCGTTTTGAAGCTTAAAGTAAAAAAAAGAGCAAGCACACACCAGGGGAACAGCGCTGAACTCGCAGATACATGTTACAGTTTTGTGTTTAATGTCCATCGTGTAAATTTGTACCAATCAAAGTAACATCAGTTTTATAGTTTGTTAAATCTTTTAAACCATAACAAAAACACAACCATTTAATATTAATGTAAGGATTAAAAAACATAATCTTCAGATTTCGTGTTCTTAGTTTCTTGATAGTATTTGTATAATTGATGTCACAAGTGAAAACCGTTTACGGCAAGGCAGTGACGCAGCGGATGATTACACATCATCACTCACAAACCTTACTAATGCCCTTGCTTTGCCCACCTTCCCACTCAAAATACTCCGGTTTTCCTCACTGGTCAACTCATGGCCTATCACTGGATGCCCCATTTTATTAATCGACATCTCTTTCCCCCTCCTTAACCAAAGTCCTAGCAATCGACACTTAGCAAGGCTCCATTTGGCAGGACCTCATCGCGAAGAGGTCATCGTGGCCAATGCCGTCGACGTCATCGCAGCTGACCATCGTTTTCTTCTAATATATCCATCAAGTGTTGCAAAGTGATACACCAAACTCCAAGGCCCACTCTTTTTTCAGTCTCGTTACCACCACCACCACCACGTAGCTCAATATCTTATATACTTGGTTTCCGACCTCTTGGTGTCACTCGTATGTCCGACATTGTAACCTACCTCATAATGAATAATGTATCTTACAGCACATTCTGAATTTGGACTGCAATGATTACTTATTCGGATTTTATCTCCAATTATAACACACATATAACGGTGCCTTGCTGTAGCTTCATTGGGCTCCAATTTACGAGAACACAAATTTAAGTCTTGGTCAGTGTAGACTTCATCGTCAACCCAAACAAGGTTTGGAAAATAACCACTTGGTGGAAATTAAATAATGAATGTCCAATAAGGAAACTTTTGGCTCACAGAATTCCAACACCAGTTCGGGACTGCCAATTGGCTTTAGCACTACTTAAAATTCACTCAAATACGAGGACACGGGCTGGGGTTTGAATTTTAATACCAGTTGTGCCATCGGCCAAAGCATTAGGAGAAGTGATCACACTGGCAACTCTTCACAATAAAGGAACATTGCATCACGATATTTTGGAGTGGATTCCGAAGAAACCACAACACGACTTCAGCAGCCATTTCAACAGGCTTTTCACCCAACATTAGATGATATTTCTTCATGCCATGAATCACAACTTGCTTTATGTCAATCATGGATATGATGCAATTATACAAATTTAGAGTTCAAAAAGTAAGTGGGCAAGCAGAATATATCGGCAACTAGATGTTAAACAAACTCTTAAAAAGAAAATCTGATTTTAATTAACCAAGTAATTAAATAATGCCAGCTCAATATTTATGATAGGAATTTAGCATTCACCCTACAAACCACATTTATTGTTAAAATTGGGTCCTAACATTAACTTAAAAACTCTAACTGGATTTAGTGATCAATAATACCACCACTGATTTTGTAATTAAAAGCCTTGTTTATTGAAAATTAACTGAGTTTTCTCTGCTCAGCAACAAAGTATCACATGATTTCTGCTTTCTAAAGAAGTGACAATGTATACTTTTATCGTAATGCTTTAAGTAGGTTAGGCCAGTTTACTGCATTCTGAAGTGTTTAGGACTTCCAGCCAAGTCAGGTTAATTTAAACATGGATATGAACACTAATTAAAATAATCACATTCATGATATTATTCTTTAACAATACATTATCTTGTAATTTTATTTTAATGCAAAAAAAACTATTATTTAATTTTAAAACACGTACGCTATATTCCTTGGGTCTTTTGGTAAAGTCACATAAATAGGTTCAAAGAAATAACAAAACAATTATTTGAACCTATCTATGTGACTTTACCGAAAGACCCAAAGAATATGAATTCCTGCAGCCACAAAAGCTTAAAGTCAAGATTTACATACACTATATTTAATATCGTGCAGCATATGCAATCAAGGCTGGACTAGATTCATAGGCAGATAGCAATGCCACCTTAATAATGCAGTCATAGCATCATATTTAGCTATACTGTGCTGCCTGGAATATTAATTTCAATGGCAGTAAAGTTAAAACTGAAAATAAATTTATTATACGTCATTGACACTTCATAATAGGTTTTTTAAAAATTAATACTTCAGCAGAGTGATTACATGCTCTGATTTAGTGAGCAATAATATTCCCACCCTTCTCAACCTCTTGCTAAAACACATGCCAGGAAAGAGTCAGGCTTAACGTGGTTGGGTAGTCTCTCCTTATCCTCTGCTGTTCCTTTTGTCTGAAAACATTTCCATGGCATTTTTATACATTCCACTCTCTCAGACTGTTAATATCCAGATTAAAAAGCTTATCACTACTCTAATGAATACATACGATTCAGTTAAACATCCCTTCAAATTACCTTCACACCACCTACCAACCCCTTCTAAATATTACATCAGCAACCGTTTTATATACTTTTTTCATTAGGCATTGCTTTGTTGAGCCATATTTTACTCTATTAGAAATTTAAAGATTCTGCACAGAACCTAGAAAGAGTAATACTTTTTAAAAAATATTTGTAGAAAAAACTCACAGAGTACAAACATCTATTTTAGGTGGTTGCGGATTGGGATGTTTACATTTATTTTAAGTTGTTGCATGCAAAAGGTAAACTTGAGTGGCTCAAAATAAAACCAAGCGTTCATGAGAACTCGCAAACTCCACTGTATAGGCAGCCTGTCTGAAACCTACCTTCTGGATTTCCAATGACAGTCACCACCTCTTTTCCCAGGAGGTGGGCCATCTCATGCACACCATCATCACGATGGCTCAATGCAATGCAGGACTCCCATCCCTTCATGATCCATCAACCCAACCTCCATATTTCAACGTTTAACAGACATGCATTTCTACCACAGACATCAGCAAACGATATCAACTCGTATCCTCATGTCCTGTCAAGGGATCCGCTTTCCCCATCACTTACTTACAGCCAAAACATTCGGACATGCCTTTCATTTACTTGGGCTGTTTACTTGTTGGAAAGATGCATGGGTCGTGACTTGAGGGTGGGTGTGCGGGAGATCTTGGGGCGGTCCGTTGAGGGGCGGGAAGAGGGAAGAGCCATTTGTGGCGATGAACCAAGTTGTTACTTGAGGGTTGAGACGACATCTCGGAAGATGTTCAGGAAGATGTTGGCATGGATCTCGGTGAAGATTAGGCTCGGGCGGAAGCGAATCGATATGTCCCCACAACCACCCAGCACCACTCCTAGTAACATGCACACCAAAAACAAAGATTCCACATAAAGCCATACAGTAGGGATGAGTTGCCCGTTTATAAATATCAGACTTTTAAGGACAATTCCAGATCTTTTTCAGATTTTCGGATAATTTACAGTGTCCTACTTTAAAATGTGCTCAGCACCATTACAGGGGAGCGTGTGTAAGCACGCAAAACAAACGGCGCCGCCACACCGTGAAGGGAAAGGCGAAGGGAAGTGTGGTCATAACCTGAACGTGCGGCCAAGACACACAGGCACACAATAGGCTAATTTAACCAAAAAAACCGCGACACAAAACACTCCACTCGAGGCTTAAGGGCAAAGATACGTTAAGCTAGCACACGTCTAACCTCGCCTGTGGAACTCCACACGCAGAATTTCAGATGAAGTAGGTGTGACCCATAGGCAGCTTTTAAAGGGGGCGTAGGGAGTGCCTCAGGAAAGCAGGCGTGTTAAAGCCTCTGAAGTGGAGCCCTGATCGGAACTGACCGCACAAGGTACAAACTGTGTACAAGGACGAATTTCGGGCGTGGTTCTGGCAACCCACCCCCTCGTGTACCTTTCCGGCCTTCATAGGTGCTCGCTGACAGCACTTGCCCCTACAGTCTGTTAAGGCTACACAGGGGATCTTCATCTCTTGTGCATGTGCATGTGTGTGCACGTACCTTTATTCCTTGCTAGTAGCACTGCCTTGTTACGAGTGTCCTCATCACGAATGTCGATGGCACAAAATGTGCCCCGTCCTCGTGCTCGACTGAGTATGTTGGGGAATTCATTCTAGAGCGGCGAGAGAGCGGCACAGTTAGGGTCCAGTTGTACGATGTTTCAGAGGTCTTGGGGGTTTGGGTGGCGGAAAATAACAGTGTCATATGTTGGATTGCATTGCAATGGGATGACTTTAGTCGCATTACAAGTGAACCAGAAAGTGAACCTTCTCATCTAATTATGTCTGTCTACGTATATATTTTTTAGATTTAGATTTACGATTTGTACATAAAAAAACCTGAACGAAGTTTAACATGGTAAAACATGTCGCATTTTGCATCGGTGGTGGCACAATGGTCAAGGGAAGTAACTGAAAATACAAAGAGGGCCCCCCCCCTTCTCAGAACTGTAAAGAGTCCTGGGGCCCCTATTAGACATAATCTGGCCCCGCACGTGGGTGTGAACGATCGCTATACCTGCAGGTCCGTGAGCCCACGCAGCAGAACGGAGCCCGCATGCTGCACGTTGTCCAGGAGCCGCTCCGCACGCACCACCTTCAGCACCTCCGCCAGCATCAGCGTCTTGCTGGGCTCCCCCATCCACGTGTTGTAAATGCGATACGGCTACACAAAGACAAAGATCCACCCTATAGCCTTAATAGACTGTTGGGGCAAGTGCTGTTAGCGAGTACCTATTAAGGCCGGCACGACACACGAGGGGGTGGAGTGGGCCAGCACCACGCCTGGCCACCTTTGTCTCCCCAGTGGTGATGTTTACACACTGCACCAGGTACTCATTTGAGGCTGAGTCGACCTACAGGAGGGCCAGTTCAGATAATAGTCACTGGTGTTGGCCGTGAGTGGGAGACTCAGGTCACTGGGTTCGTCGCGCAATGCGCTAACCGCTACACTACCGCTCCCCACTTAGGCACAACAACAACCACTATTTGCCATTAACCGGCGGTGATGTCACCACGGCGCTTGAGCCAGGCTATGTGCACTGTAAGGCCAAGTGAAGTGTCGAAGGCTTGCTGGCAGGAGGTCACGAGACAGACCCAGGTGCAATGGGTTAACTGAGATAACTGTCAGATGCACCACTTGTGCCCCCTAGTGTGCCAACTTGCTGTGTTTTATCCACCCGGCGCTGCTCTGCCCACCCTTGTTGTTGTAAGGTGACTTTCCGGTAGCGTCCTTCATGAGCCTCCTCCACAGAGACCGATCTTGATACCGCTGGTACCAGTCATCGGCAAGTCCACTCCACTCCATCTCCTCTTGTATCACATCAGTCCATCTCTTCTCTAGCCCGTGCCCATATAGCCCCATCTATCTGTCCTAACAGAAGCTGCTTGGCAATGTAGTGGCTTGCCATGCAGGCTACATGACTCAGCTAACGCAGCGGTGGCGAGATGTTAACTACCTTTCCTGGTATACAGGTTGTGGGTTCAATCCCGACCATGACACCTGTATATTTTGAGTTTGTATGTTCTCCCTGTGGTCACGTGGAATTTTGTCCGGATCCTCTGGTTTTTCCCTCCACACTTAGAAGCATGCATTGAGAGTATTTGTTTGCTATACATTTCCACATGATAAGCCACTTCATTGAGTTATCATTTGTGGCCAAGGTGCTTTTGAAAGAGAGCTATATAGCTCAGTGAGCCTTACCTGGTAAAATAAAAATAGTTTAACAGTTTCAAATACCTTGCTGGAGGAGCTCACCAATGGGACTGTGTCCAGATCTTTCAAGGATATGTGAGCTCCTCTTAGAATCCAGCCTGATTAAACCCAGGATGGATCATAGGCAGGCCAGCCTGAATGTTTCAAACCGGCACAAATGTTCTATTAGGAGGGTCCACGTTTCGCAAGCATAGAGAAGGGAGGGCATGACTGTGGATGAGAAGACCAGAAACTTTGTGTGGAGCTACAGACCAGGTAGCTTCCACACAGAGATACACAGATAATGAAAAGATAATGCCGCTCGACTGATTCAGAGTGAGACCTCTGCTGTCAAACCGGAGCTGGTCATAAGTACACTGCCCAAGTATGGGAACTTCTCCACTCTCTCCACAACTGCCCAATCACTCATGGGAAGTTGAGGGAGGGGTGCATTTGATGACATAAAATACCCAGGCAATTGCTTTGTTTTTGTGGGGCTGATGGTAAGGCCCCATTCTCTTAGATTCATGCTCCAGGTTTAGCAGTAGCATCTCCAACTCCTCAGAATGGGCATCAATTACCAGATCATCCACATCCATAATATGGTTGACCAAAAGGGAGCCATTCCTTGACCACACTCAAGCATTGATCAGCCTCCCATTGTATCTATACCAGATGGAAATTCCACCACTACATCCATAGAAAGCTTCTCAAACTACATGGTCAAAGAAGATGTTAAATATTGTAGGGGCCAGAGGACATCCCTGTCATACCCCAAGGTGAACAGAAAATGGGTCTGACACCATGAAACTTTACTCGGGCCTGCTCACCATGATGAAGATCCTTAATGATTCCAAGCAGATGGTATAGGGCTCCAAAAGCGCAAATAATAACCCAGAGCCCTGGCCTATTGATGGTATCATAGCCCTTGACCAGATCAACACAGACGCACATATATGAAAACACCCACACACACCAATTCTGTGCGGAGTTCGTCCTTATAGTAGAAGCCACCGGTGAGCATCTTCTTGCTGAATGTGACGACATCGGGTGGGTTCTCCAGCCCCCAGTGCTCATGTGCCCAGAAGAGGCCTGTAGTACCAGCCCCAGTCTGCACCTCGTCGCACAGAAAGGCTGCCCCATGCTACACACACACACACGCGCACGAGTATAAAGATCTCACACACATAGCCATAAATGCAGATTTATCTGGATCAAGTGATCTAAGAGAGCAACTGTTAAGGAAAAAACACTTACACATGCACGAACACATACCCCCACATTTGTACACACCACAGTCAATGGTCATCCACACACATTCGTACACTCTTGTGTGCACATAAATACAGATGCACACAATCAAGCAAGCAAACATGTGCATGTTAGAATGCATACATATCCAAAAAATACAAAGATCCCCCATAAGTGCTGTTAGCGAGCACCTATGAAAGCCAGAATGGCACACGAGGGGTGGGTGGGCTAGCACTGTCCACGTCTCCTGAATGTCAATGTTTACACACTGCACTGATTTGAGGCCGAGTCGACCTTGGGGAGGCTCAGGACCAGTTCAGATAATCTTCACTGGTGTTTGGCTGCGAGTGGAAATCGAACTCGGGTTGCCGAGTTCGTAACACAGCGTGCTAACCGCTACACTATGTATCCACACACAAACACAAATTAATTTTTGCACTCATGCGCATAAATGTGGTAGCAGCACTGTAGCCACATTTCAAGTGTTTGTACCACAGTGCAGCCCCATTGCTTTATAATGGATTATAAGGTACATGAAAAAATATATCGCTGAATTGTAGCCACCGTATAAGCAAACGATTACGCCCATTGTTGAAGATTGTCCACGCACCGAGATTCGTGACAGCTTCAGGACATCGCATTTTGCACGTAATGAAGTTGCTGCCTTGCTCGGCACAAATGCTAAATAAATTGGCAGCCCTGAGCCTGGAGTGGAAAATCCACATTTTCTAATGACAGGTGCCAGTCCACCCATAAGATTATAAAAGTAGGACTCAGCTCTGTGTCTCAACATATCAAAATATACATCAGAGTCCATCAGCCTTTGTTGCTTTCCATATGAATCTCAACAAATCGCATTTGTTTAAGCAATAAAACTGTGGACAGGTTTCAACCTTCTCTGTCCCATCTGAAGTAAATCTTTAAACATAAATGCTACTGGCTAAACATATGCTTTTAGCAAGAACATCTGGCAGAGGGATGATGGGAATTTGAACATTTAACCTTTAACTGTGAGTTGAGCTCTCGAAACACAGCGCCACCACACAAGAGCCGAGTGCAAGAGCTGTAATCATGGCGAACCTTAGCAGTGAGTGCGCGCAACTTGCGGAAGAAGTCGTCCGAAGCGTGGTTGTCTCCCCCCTCGGCCTGTATAGGCTCCACCACAACGCCGGCAACAGGACGGCCTTTTCGTGCAAACTTCTGCATCAGATCCTCAACCTGCATTGTGGGAATTCGTTCAGTTTAAAGCCACGATGCACTCAGGCAATCACTGCCAGCAAGTCACCGGCAACATGACATGGCATGGCTATGGCAGATTTTTACAATTTATGTGCAGCCAATCAAAATATGGCTTGTTAAAGAGTGTGTTTGTGCCCGATTCTGTTTCAAAAATTATTATTCGCCTGCAGAGAAAACTATTTTGGGTAGTCGTGCGACCTCTGTGTTAAGTAACATCACAAGTACATTTGGTATTCGAGGTATTATGAAAGCACAAGGCTATCACGAAGCCACTATGTTTCACGAACAATTATAATCTGCAGTAGTTGTATAATCGGAGGCGATATTGCGATGTGGCTTTACAATGGAGGTAATTTGCAAGTCATTTTCTAATTTGAAGATTTGTTGTGATCGTGATGCCACCAACATGCAATCAGGAGTTGGAATCCCATTGCTCACTACGGGGAGCTGTGATCCTTTTTTTTTACAATAGAAAATCGTGAAAATTGCTGTGGATGATTGCTACAGAATTACGTGAGTGCATCATGGTTTTTGGACAGAGTAATCAATGGCAACAGGAGAAATGAGTAAATGGATAATAGCATTTCTCAGTGTTATAGTCTTAATGGTTAATGTAACCAAATATATGGCTATTATTTTGTAGACATGCATGTAGTTGTGTGCTCCAGGGCGTTCAACATGAGGTTAGTGCTTCCTAATTAAAAAGAAAGTTATCGTGTATTTTTAAGAAACCTACTCGGGCACACTACCACAGTGCCCTCTAGTGATGTTAATAGAACATGACAATCTCTTTTGTGCATTACGTCACCAACTGGAAGTCTGGTTTTTAATGCTTAAATATGCATTCAATTGGTCACAGACGTGGATTTCAATTGTTGCACAACTATAGACTGATACGGTTTTAAATATTAACCGACACACCACTCGAATAGTAAATTTTTTTGGCTGCGTCTTCCGTGTGTGCAAGCGAGAGTGCGGTATGCGTGACCTCAGCCAGGCAGCGCGCCTCCTCACTCGCGTTCTCCCGGGAGTGCTCCTCGAGCGGGTACTGGAGGCGCGGGAAGGGAGCGATCGGCCAGTCCAGTGAGGGGATATCCAGCTTGTGGATCGCCTTTGAGTGCGTCGTGGCGAGGCAACCTATGGCACAGACAAAGGCAAAGACCCTCCAGTATAGCCTTAACAGACTGTTGGGGCAAGTGCTATCAAGCGAGCATCTTTGAAGGTCGGCACATCACTCGAGGGGGTGGGTAGCCAGCACCACCACGCACGTTCGTCTTTGTCTCTCCAATGGTGATGTTTACACATCACACCAGGTACCCACTTAAGGCTGAGTCGATCTAGGGGAGGCCCAGAACCATGTTGGTTGTGAGCAGGAATTGACCTCAGAGCTCCGAGTTTGTAGTAAATTTTGCTAACCACACACTTGCATGGTCACGTAACACGCTCATTCGTTCATTAAGTTTTTAGCCAGTTGGCCAGGATTGGGCAAAGATGTTGCCCACTTTTGACCGAGGCAATCGGGGAGCAGAGACTTAGACATTTCTTAACTTACTACTAAAACTACAATTATATATTTAAGAACCCACAATTTGAAAAAAATATATATACTCTGAAGAATTACAATAAACAATGTTTAACCTAAAATATTGTCAATGATTCTCACAGTCTGGGATACTCTTCCAGTATCCAACCAAGCTATTAAAATACCATTGCAACCAAGTGATCTCCAAGAGGAAAATAATTGCAATCTAAATGCAGTGCTTGAATACCATCTATCTGGGTGTGTTCGATAGGTAGACTTTACCTCCAAATGATACACAATTGTATTAAATACAAAATATTCTGTATATACAGGGCAGAGTTCCTCAGAGAGTCATGTATCCATTCCGAGGGTTGTAAATCCATTCTTAACATTTTAAGTTAACTTATTATGATGGGATGATCCATGAGGTCACAGGCTTTATTAGATCAATGAAAGCTGTGAATGCTATTCCCCCATTACCAAGAGCATCTTGGAGATCAGCCACTAAATTAACAAGAGCTGTTGAAGTGGAATGTCCCTTTTTGAAACCTGATTGGGCATCTCAGATGAGTGAAAATTTGTCCAGATGCCTAAATCATTGCCGATTTAATTTGCATTCTAACACCTTGCTTCAGGTCGGTAGCAATGTGAGTGAACATTAGCATGACGAAATTAACAGAGGACTGTCCAACAAGAGCCTAAGTGGAAGCCTTGTTTATCGTCACACTGGTGATCATTTGCAAGGAGATGCAACCCATTTTGAGGAAGGTGCAGACGTTTCACATGAAGGCCCACTTACCCATGGTGCGGCCGTGAAAACTACCCATGAAGGACAAGATCGAGAGCTCAGGACTGCCAGGGGACTGCACACACAAAGACAAAGACCCTCATGTAGCAGCTTACTGTTGGGACACATGCGGCAAGTGCTGTTCGTGAGCACTTAAGGCTCAAACAGCACACACGGAAGTGGTGTGGTCTATGCCATATATAGCCTTTGCTTCCCAAGTGCTGACGTTTACACACTGCACCAAGTACTCATGTAAAGCTGAGTCAACTTTGTGGAGGCCAAAAACAGATTAAAATACCACTTGCTGTCAATGTTAGCTGTGGCTCTGTAAATGTATCAGAATAGACTAATCACTGTACCACCACATCCCACCATAAAAGACATGCACCAGAAACTGCCAACACATCACTCCAAAACACACAACACTCTTAGCAACACCTCAATCCCTGGTATGACATGGGTATTTCATATATAATCAATCATACAATCGGTATCGCACTATTTTTAGTGCTTTCACAAAGGCGTGATGTGTCACAGTGGGGTAGTCTGCCATTAGGAGGCGATGTTGCTATGTGGTTTTACCCAATTAGGTATTTTGTACACGGCTTAGACTTTTTCGAATGTCAAAAAAACATTTACGGTTCACTGTAAAGCAACAGGCATGTATTCTATGATTAATTGCAGTATTCACCAGATAAGCTACTGGACTTGAACCGTGAACATCTTATCAAAGTGGCAAACATACAACCATGTACAACCATTGCAGAGGGAGAAATTGCAGCCTTTGTAAATGGATTATGGGTATGTGCATACCTGATTAATCATACTTGTCCTCAACTCTTCAGTAGTGGGTTTGGCTCCTCCTCTCTGCTTATTCTATTGGAAAGGCAAACATACCACAACAGGAGAATTTCATTCATACAGCATCCAAATGCAGTCACGAGACCCATATACATACACACACAAACCCATACTTTGGGGCTTCATGCACACAATTACACAGACAAAAATATAGTCTCATAATTCTTTGCACCATTCCCAGCTGCCTTTGTATTTCAAATAAAAATGTTCACCCACAAATAAAATTTTCATGAAAATAAGTTATCCATTGAATACATTCTTAAAGATAATATGCTTAATTTTAATGGGCTCTCACACGATTTGAAATAAAGGCCATCTATATAATGATTTAAGGCCAAGCAGTAAATTCGCACAGTGCGCTATGAACTAGGTAACCTGAGTTTGATTACCGGGCATGGCTAACATTAGTCGAAATTGATATAAAAACGAGTTTCAAGGCATTTCCATGGGTGGGAATGAGTCTCTCCCGAAATCAATCAGTTGCTTTAACATCTCCACCCTCTCTGGAGATGAAGGGTTAAATGAACCTCCATCCAGGATTTGAACTTGTCGCCTTTCCAATTGTGAATCGAGCACTCGAACCGCAAGCACCACCCGGTCAGATATCCACATTTGAGCCTTTATTTACTGTTACAAGAATGCAGCTTAAAACAAGGACACGATCAATGCAAAATAAGAATTATGAAGCACGTTTGATTGACATTTGGGTTTTATGCGGGAAAGGGTGAGCTTAGCGCGGATGAAAGAGACCGTATTTGTTGCCTTGGGAGACAATTTTTGGGTGCCAGACAACAGCCATTTATCTGCACACCACGTCCCCATCAGCACCGACAATGTAGCATTGTGGCACACTTATGTAACATGCAGCGGCATGCATACGTGCAGTGCTTGCCTTATGTTCCCTTCGTGCCTGTACCCCATTGATTCACACGTCGACAACAATTGTCGGGACATGTACAAAACTGAGCAATCTTCCCTTTTAAAACTGTCTACACTACGTGCACATGTATGTGTGATGTGTATCATCGATGCCTAGGAACTATGTTTGGTCTAAACATCCAAATACTCACTACCACAAGCCCTCCACCCCTCGTGATTTTGTGAATTGTCATGGTTGTGATTAAATTCAGGAACCGATAATTTTTCTTCTCATTTTTACTGGCTTGTTTGTAATAGTTTCTGTGGTTTTTTTGCTCTCAAATTTTGTTTGCTTCATTTAAAAGGCCAGTAATTTCCTGCTCGAATGAGCATTTAGGCAGTGCTCATCTCCTGTTTACAACCCTGAGCCACTTGACTTTCCCACAAAATAGTACTCATTATTGTGACCCCAGAGGGATGATGGGTTGAGTCAACCCCCAACCAGGATTTGAACTCACAAACCTACCGATTGCAAGCTGCTCACTGTACTACTTAAGTCACCTGGTCAATGAACCAGGTGCACAAATGTAACATGAACCTATTATTTGCATACACAATCGTCAATATCTACATGCACAATTAAAAGCATGTCTTTTGAGTATAAAAATATATTATACAATTAACCAAAACATGGATCGATATATCATTACCGAATTACCCATGTGCAGAGGTATTCCCATCTGCACCTGCATTGTCTCTATAGCTGCAAACTATCTAACAAAGATTAATAATAAGGTTTTAACCCTTTTTTCTGGCAACAAAACTGACACCTTTTTACAAGGAATCATGTTTACATTAACCCCAATACCTGCAGTCAAAATGCAAAAAAAACACTGATAATGTATGCACTGTCCTTGAAATTGATTGGTCTACACCCGAGACAGCTTTTGTTAGAGCCCAGTCTCATATGGTGTTCGACCAGATGACGCCAAAAGGCGCACAACTCAAAGACAATGCATCATCAGAGTATTGAGGGCACGGGGTAAGCATTTACATCATGAGACCTCCTTTGCCAGTAGCAAAATATAATAATAGGTTGTTGACCCTTTTTTCTGGCAACAAAACTGACACCTTTATACAAAGTTTATTTATTGGGGAAAGCCTGTATGAATAAAAAGTTTCAGGAGTGTCCTGCCATGGAATATGGAGCCATATTAGATCATTTATTTTGCGTGTTGGAGGAAACTTGAAAAAAACCCACACAATATAACACTAACTTCTGTATAGATGGGTCAGGAACTGCTTTCTCTACAGTTAGCTATTGGGAAACTCCAACGCAACAGAATGAGTCTAACAAACACAATGAAGCCTGCGTGGGTCCACCAACTATGTCTTTACAGTGCTGACTACTCGAATGCATCACCCATGCCTTCCCTTGCGAGTGTAATATTTACCTGTTTGTACTATGTGCAAAAATGCACGATTTACAGAACATGCACTGTGTATATCTGCACAGGAATGCTGCAGTGGTGTAATGGTTAACTCGCTGGTTTTGCAATCCAAAGGTCATCGGTTTGATCCCTTGGTGCAGCAGATGACACAATGGACCACTTTGTTAAATTAGAATTTCGGCGGCCTATAGCCCACTAATTCTAGCTCCTGCGGAGAGCTTCTCAGCGCTACGCGCCTCGCCTGGTGCCTCCACTGATGTCCCCTTCTTCCCACCCCCAATGTGTCCAGACACTACTGCCTCTTTTGTACGTAGGATGTGTAGGCATATAGGACTACGAAAGACATTTCACTTTTTGGGGGTAGCAGGGGGGGAAGTTAATTTTTTTTGGGGGAGGGGGGTCGACAATTGTTGTCCACTTTCTATAACTTTTTGAGTCAGGCCTTCTGAAAGGCTCTTATAATTTAGTTGACGGACAAACGGAACACCGAGCTTTTATAATAGATGCCCATGACTCTTTTAACGCTTGCAGTCTGCACAATACTCAGTGCAGTCTGTACAAAGTGTACTGTTTGCACAACATGTACCTTTATACAGAGCGTGCACGTAGCACAGTGTGCACACAGCGAAGAAGTAGTGTGTGTATCACGATGTACGCGTGCAGAGCCTACAAAATCTATTCTGCCTTTCGTGCCTTTTGGGTAGATGAGGGTTAAAAGCTGGTATAAAACATTCGTTTTATGCTATCACCATCAAATTGCTAAAGATAAACATTCACTGCAGGTTATTACCAATAAACGTATTTTGCACAATGTAATAACCTGACTAAATCTTGATTAGAAGCTTTCGTGACTGCAGGAATTCACTCTCTTTGGTCCTTTCGGTAAAGTCATTTTGTTTATTTTCCTATCGACGTGACCTAACCGGACAAAACTTTGTTACATTCATGTTAAATTTGAGACCTGCCTCCCAATACAGTATTAGCCTTTATTAATAATTGGATCTAAAAGTCATGATTACCACCAGTGCTGTTGAAGCCACGACATGTTGCCATCACTTTCTTCCTTCTGCTAGACCCCACAGATGTTGCAGTGACACAGGGCCTCCTCCTAGGGCTACTCTTGGATGCTTTATTTGATGACGTAATTTTTCAGAGCCTTTTAGAAACCAATGCTGCATGTTAAATGCGTACAAAATACAAAAAAAGCTCACAATGTAGACGCTGATGTCTCTCCTCCACATACAGCAGCTTTATGATTAGCGAAGAGATATAGCGCACACACTTCTTTATGTTTAGGGTTACCAACAAACGTAAAGCTGGTAAAATACAGCTTTAATCATTGCTAATAACTCTGCTAAGGTGACCACGATGAAGGCTTTAATTAAGTTGCAAGGTCACTTGTATGTATTGGCTTTGGAATAATGATCCGAGTGTAGTTTGTAATGACACAATAGCCAGATTAGAATTAGATCCAAGATCAAATAAGGATGCACATGTGCACAAACACACACACACTGATGAAAATACATTTTGTTGGACCCACATTGTCAAGATGTGGCAGTTTTTGCCCATAACATCAGGGTGCCGTATTACATTTTATACAAAGCAACACTCTGTTAATGAGTCTTGGAAAGTTTAAACCACCTCAGTTTCCTTGTAGATAAATACAAATGGTACTAAGAAAGAGTAAGCTGGAGGAAGGAACATTAGTTAATAGGAAAATATATTAAGCATAATTTACTTCCAGGAATGTAAACTATTGCATTTGCCTTTTTATTAGTTTCAGTGAAAATAAAGTGCAAATGGAAATGCTTTTTTGTACGTTTAAACAGATTAGTATTCCGAAGCACAGATGGCTAGGAGGTGGTACCATTCCAGACTTTGGGAACAGCACAAAAGGTGAAAGGCAGTGGAGTCTTCACAATGTTCTTGGACATATTTATATTGATGGAAGTGGTTTAAAAACAAAGGCAGTAGGGGGAAGAGTTTGAGAGAGGAGACTTGAGGCGAGTGGAAGTAACGTCGTAAAGGTTTTGGTAAACGACAGGAGAGCACGCTTGGCCAGGTCTCATTGTGCAAAGATGGAGTGCCCCACTGTGCTGAATGGGATGTCAACACACCCGATACCAGATGAAGATGGCCTTGAAGGCATTCTCGTTGGAGCAGGACCCACAAGCCATGGTCTGCACCTGCCGGAGTCCAGTGGGAGCCACCTAGGGGACAGACAAAAGTATGTTTTACAAACCCAACTTCTTGGATGCACAAGCATAAAGGTAGATTTGAAGTTTTCGTGACTGCAAGGATTCATACCCTTTGATTTTTTCGGTAAAGTCACGTAGGTAAAAAATGAAAATAAATTAAATCACGACGTTTCGGGCGCAACACAAGTGTCCTTCTTCAGGTGCCACACTCTTAAGTGTGTCACACTTAAGCGGTGTGACACACACTTAAGAGTGTGACACACTTAAGCGTGTGCTTTCTCTAAGTTGTCCCCAACTGAAGAAGGATGCTTGTGTTGCGCCTGAAACGTCGTGATTTAATTTATTTTAATTTTTTACCTACGTGACTTTACCAAAAAAACCAAAGAGTAAGCATAAAGGTCCCCTGCATAGCCGTTGCTTATAAAAGTAATCACACCCAGGATGCGTCTGATCTCATCAGATCTTTGAAGCTAGGCAATGCTGTACCTGAATAGTGTGTGGATAGTTGACCACCGTGCATAAAGCAGGTGTTGTGGGATGCTATAGGCCTATGTTGTGGGCTGCAGAGGGCAGTGTAGTAAAATCAATGTTTGTGTTTTACTATACAGTACTTCCACATGTGCTCCCTGCCTTCAACTCTCATTGACCAGTGTGGTGAAGTATGCTCAAGCAGCCGTCTTGACTGACACACTATTTGGATACATATCATCCAGCAATAGATTGATAAATGGGTCTACATATAAATAAACAGCCATAAAGACTTTTGGACATGCGGTGTAAATGAGTAGCAATTGAGGCCGGCTTGACATGGCACAAGGAGAAGTGGTGTAGACTGCACCATTCTTATGGTAAGTGCCATATTTGTCTCATCAGCATTCCCATCTCTGATGGGACATCACAGACAGACAATGTAGCTCTAGATGGAGTGATTAAGGCTCACTCCGTTTATTTATTATTATTATTTCAGTTTATTTATTAGTTATAGCCGCTGTGAGCCATGCAGCTCTTGAGAAACCTATCTTCAAAATCACCATGAATGTGCCCAATCTCTTCAGATTTTGAACATGAACCAGGGTTAGGCCTGCAAGCGAGACTAAATGGGAGACTGATTGCGAATACCAGATAATGTAGGCTAGGGCTGTGCGATGGCCAGGAGAATGCAGTACATAATGTATTCTTGAAACGATCTGCTTTGAGTATGAATTGATTTGCTGTGTGTTCTATGGGTTCTTTCCATACGCCAAATACTAATTAATGGCATTGGCCAAGCATCCCAATGCAGGACCCCTCATGAAAGAGCCTTGAGACTCAGTCGGGCTTTCCTTGTTAATGGTATTATATTTTGCTCAAGTTTACAAAACAAAAGGTCCCATTAATCATATTTAACAAATGCCGTTGAGTACGTTTCGAATGTGGGACGGAACATCACTTTCCAGTCAAAACTCCACATACTCTTTGAAGAGACCAGTCATAAAACACTTACTTTCTCGACTGCTTCCTCGATACCTTGTTACCCATTCTGGCAAGCGTGACTCACACACATGATCTCGGTGCAATCCACAAACCATACACTGCTCTCGAGAAATCCACACCACTGCTGGTTGTATCCGAGTGTGCGAGTGTCTCATACCGACACGAGAGACTTGTGGAGAAGTTGAGGAAGGTCATGCGGAGGTAAAGCTCCCAGTGCCGGTCGGTTAGCAAATGTGGCCTGCCAACACAAGAAAAGATAGAAGCCCCGTTGGAACATTTTACCTTACAGACTGCTTGGTGCAAATGCCATTGAGGCCAGTGTGGTTAATAAACGAGTGGTGTGGGCAGAATCCTGTATTGTTGGCCGCCTTTGCCTTCCTAGCTGTCTATTCACATGGCTAAAATTACCTAAATGAAGCACAGTACTGGTTCACATATGACTTTCCAGTGGTGTTGTGGAAATTTAACGTAGGTTGCTTGCTTCATAATAATGTGACTTAACCAATAAACATTGCTCCAAACGCACACATAGTTACGTACCAACACACAGAATGGACAGAAAAAACAACTACCATTAGCTACTAAGTGGCAGTGACATTGCAATGACACTTGTGCCAAGCTAGGTACACATTAGAGCGTGCGCTAACACACATGGTGCTCACCAGATTTGCAGGATCTTGCAGGATACGGAGAAGGGCTGGGTGATTGTAACCTGTGAAAAAACAGGCTAGCAGTTTATTCCCTATACATGTAGTCCAATGTAGCAGTCAATAAAAAAAATGCATTCCTTTATGCTTAATAGAATCCACAGTGCAACAAAGACTTGAGGTCAAACAAGATGTCTCACATCAAGGGATTATCCAGGTATATTTTAATAAATAAAATAAGCTGGCAAAGAGGTGGGTAACATGTATTGACGTAATTAATGGGAATGAACTAAACATCCAGCATGAATGGAAGGAGATATAGCATGTGATTAGTTTGGCATTTATTATTACGTGTAGAGATGTACGCAGTGTGCGCAGTTGAGCGGGTGCAATTGAGGATGAGTAGGTGAGCGCGTTGAGGCAGGAGGTTGGCGCCGGAGAGACGGGGGCGATGATTAGGGATTAATGAGTGCAAGAGGCTCCGTGGAGACTACAGCTTAAGTGGAGAGCACGTGGGGAGGGGTATATAAGCGGGAGTGTGCGTGAGCAAAGGGAGTTGTTCGGGGACCAAGGGAGGCTAAGTCATTCAGAAAACAACAGGAAGGTCTTTCTATTTTAATAGAAGTGGCAGGTATATCAGTTAAGACGGAAGACAACAATGTGTAAGCCTGCTTTAGACCTTAATAGAAGCAGGGGACTAAGATTAATCTTCCATAAAGATGTGATTTATAATAATACGTGCACATGCGGGTGTATACATATATGTTTCAACAACCAACCACTAGAGTACAGCAAAACACACGTGGGTGTGTGGATCTGCACTGGTGAAATACTTTTTCCCTACCCCTATTCCAAGGGGATTTCCTTCCCGTTTTAGTATCATCCTTTCCTGAGAATAGGTTTTCCCCTTTTTTCTGGCAACAAAACAGGTGCTAAAATGTTAAAACACCAGACTGAAACCTTTTACAAGGAATCATGTCTGCATTAACCACAATACTTGTTGTCAGACTGCAAACAAAAAAACACTCTATCTTTGAAACTGATTGGTCCACACCAGAGACAGCTTTCTTTGGAGCCTAGTCTCAAAAGGTGTTAGACCAGAGGACGCCAAAGGCATTCTGAGCACAAGTATTGTGGTTAATGCAGACATGATTCCTCGTAAAAGGTTTCAGTTTGGTGTTTAAACATCTTAATACCTGTTTTTGTTGCCAGAAAAAAGGGGAAAACATATTCTCATATTTTGGTACTGGCAAAGGAGGTCCCATGATGATCATCCTTTCCTGTTAACGCCATTTCCTTTCTTGCCAAATAAAACATTTTCTGTTCTTTTCTCATTCCTTTTGGATCCCTACAGGGTCCCCTGCAGGGTTTGTGAATCCCAGGGACATCTTATCAATGTAACTCTAGGACTGCGTACCAAGTGGTAGTGATGAGATCTGCATGTACAGGTCCAGCATGCGATTGCCATCCACATCCACCAGGTAGTTGCCCCGACTGGCTGTGTAGTCGCAGAAAAACTGCACGGCCACCGAGTTCTGAGATGCGCGTACACAAAAAACAAAAGGTCCCATGTACAGCCTACACAGATTTTGAGGGTCAATGTTGATAGCAACCAACTATTAAAGCTGACACAACACATAAGGCGGCGGTGGTGTGGCCAGCACCATGTCTGGCTGTTCACACACCGCAACAGGTACTCATGTAAGGCCGAATCGACAGGAGGCCCAGGACCAGTTCAAATAATCGCCACTGAAGTTAGACGTGGCCAAACATTTTAACTCAGCCGCTGGTTTTGTAATGCAGTGCACTAACCACACATGCGCAAACAACTAAACAACCTGCATTCGGGACAAAGACGTAAAGTTTAGATCAACGACCCCTTGTTCAGGCTAAGCAAACTTTGCTCACAATTACAGGCTATTAAAAGTTTAATGTTGAGCGATTTTGCAGTGGTTAGTTGCACGGCAATATGAACCCTGCAACTAGAGTTTGATTCCCACCCACGGCTAACCTCAGTGGCGAGTGACATCTGAACTGGTCCAGCACATCCTTCGCCAACCCGCACTGGGGGTTGTAGTTTCGTAAAACAAACCCCGTTACGGACAGGGCATGAGACTTTCCCCCAGCAGTGGATTGATAAAGACCTGTACATCAATTATAAACTATTCATATTATGTACATTAAAGTGTTTAATTGTCTCAAATGTTTTGCATACCTGAATCTCCCCAAGTTCCTTGGTTAGGACCTGTTATAACACAAATAGAGAGATATGCATGTGGACACATACATCAGCACACACAAATCAAATAATTAAACGCTATTTCAAGCACTATGCACCCAGACTTAATGCAATTGTGAGTGTGTATGTGTGAGTGTGTTGACCATCTAGGCAGGTCAATGAAACCTCATGCCTCATGAAGCGCGTATCAATATTTGCACAAAGAAAATACAAATGTCCTTTTACATCATCTTTGGTTCTTTTGGTAAAGTCACGTAGGTATAAAATAAAATAAACCACGACGTTTTGGGCGCAACACAAGCATCTGTCATCAGGTGGGAAAGCATGGTCTGCTGCTGAGGCAGACTGTTTTAAAAGGTTTGAAACTTGTCAAGGAAGCCCCTGTAGGTCATGTTAATCTGAACCTCACGGTCCAATGCTCACACCAGGAACCAGGCCAATGGAGAAATGTCTGTTTGCATGTAATGCCAACTTTAGTTACTTTACCAACACTTGATTACTTTAATAGTTTTACATGACATAGCTCTATGGCAGCAAACTTGGGAAGTCAAGAGGACTCAATGTAGGGGTTATAAACCTTGGATTTGGAGGTAACAACAGCAGGGAGAGAAGTCATGCTCGTAAGCATGACGAGTTATGTTCATGACTTTACCTCTAATCCAGGCGAAATCCCTATTGTGCCTTCAATTTACTACTCACTGCCTCTAGCCTCTTGCCATGTGCCTGATGTGTTAAGAGCATGGATGATTGCACAATTTCCCCTTATATACGAGCACATCTGAACTTTGGAGAATGGTGGTGCAGCAGTACGCGCAACGAAATATGATCCCAGTAACCTTGGATTCCTGGTGATAAATACGAGTGGTATGTGTTATCTAAAACCGTCCTGATCTTCCCCGAGGTTAACTTGGCCTAAAATTAGTACGTGATGTGGTATAAACATCAGCATTGGAGGCAACCGGCTATGATGCTCACAACACCACTCCCATGTGTGCTGTGATGCACTGGGCTTGATGGGAGCTCACTTACAAACATTTGCATCTACAGTATACATGGTTAAATCAGGATATCTTCATCATGGTATGGGTGTGAACAAATGCGTATAGGTACAGGCACATGTGCTTTCATGTGTGCATGTTCTTTCATGCATGTAAGCACAAAGAGTAGCCTTATACATTTGTGCACATGTGAAGAGTCATGCACATTTTTACAAGTGGAATGCATGTATATGTTGGTGTGAATTAAATAATAATTAAATAAAGATGACAACCACGAAGACACCTACGCTCGTAATTTAAAGTGGAAATTATCAACCATAAAGACCTGTGTCGAGCTTTCTAAAGGGTTTTAACCTAAAATCTGATTCCGAAATGTGCAATATTGATTCGTAGTTGAAATGTGAACCTTGTTTCTCCCTCCCATTCGTCATCACAAGCTAGAAAAAGCACACATGGCAAAGAAGTTCAAGGTTGAATGCCCATCTAAGAGTTGAACCAATCAATACCAATAAGATACTGGGCTCAAATAAAGATAGTTATCAGTATTGTAAAAAAAAAATGGGGACTCAAGTATATAAAGAGATGATAATATCAGCACAGTCACCACTGACTGCACACACAAAATGATGTTATGTTTTGTTTCATTTAATTCAACACATTCCATTTATCAGGGCTAACATTTATAATTTGTGACACTTTTAGGTCATTGGCTGGATATGATGAGCCTATTGAATGAAGCCAAATCTACGGCAATTTAAAGGAACCAAATGCCTGACAATGTACTGTTACGGCCTGTTGTGAATTATAGTTGTACATTTTTCATTTTTCTCATATGATACCAACAGCTCTATTGAATACAATTGGAACTTTAAAAAAATCAGTTGCTTGTGTGATGTGGTCAACTGCAGCACTGGGAGGCAAAGATTAGCCGAGTTGAATTAACCGGCTTCAAATTCCCCTCGCGTACCTTCCAGGCCTCAACAAATGATTGCCAACAGCCGTAGCCTCTGGAAATCCTTGCGGATTAACTGGGAAGCTTGCTAGTTGTGCATTTGAATGAACATTTACGCATGGGAGTGCTGTGCGAGTGCACGCATGGCTTTGCAAGTTATCAACCCAGTTTGTCTTACTTGTGATTTGGGCCCTGGCACGGTCGTCTTCATGAGGGGACCCTCGTACTCTGGGAGACCCTGGTCATGGAGCGAGGGAGAGGCCTGAGCCCCCATTGCTCTCCCTGTGGATGAGATAATGCATACACAAGGAAAAATATCTCCTATGTAGCCTATACAGACTGTGAGGACAAGTCCTGTTGGGGACACCATCCCCATGTGCTTAGGGGACCACGAGGGGGTGGTGTCGTCAGCAAAATGCCTAAGTGGACTTTGTCACCCCCATGCTGATGTTTAAGCCCACAGGGGATTATTGTGTCCGTCCATCCGTCGTGCATCCAAAAATGGGAGGGGTGGGGCTGGGTGGGGAGTGGCTGGGTGGGGGGGTGCTGGGTGGGGAGGGGCTGGGTGGGGAGGAGCTGGTCACCCCGTGGTGCCCTTATAAAACTCAACGTTTAACCTACTCACGCCGGCTTGTGCCTGCCCTCACAGTCGGGCATATTTGCGGTATACACCACGCCGCCGTTGACCCTGGCCATTGACCGAGCAACCCAACGTCCCTACCAGCTCCCTCCGCAGGAATGTGTTTGCAAGAATTGCTCACATAATGGGCTGCTCTTGAAGCCACTATTCACCACCAAGCAGTGGGCACGTCACCACAGCTCATGCCGAGATAGGTATACTTTGAGGTCACTTTAAGTGCCAAAGGCTCACTGGAAATAAGTCCAGGTCTTATGGGTTAACTGAATGGGATGATTGGCAGATGCGCCAACTGTGCTTATTATTGTGCCATCTTATCATAGCCCATGACAGGAAGGACCACACATGCTCCCTCACTTTTGTTGCCCCAGTGCTGATGTAACCCTTTTGGTACTGAAGGACACCCATTTTACATGAAGTCAATAAGGCCAGAGATGATTGAGATACCCAGTGACAAGATGATATCGTCCAATGTGGCATAGATTTTAACCTGGGTGGATGAGATTGTTGCAGTGTGTTAACCAAATCTACACCACACATAAAAAGCGTAACCCAAAGAGATTGTGGTACTTTAATACCAGTAACCATTTTCACATCATAACAAATGTGTTCAGTGCAAGTCATACTTTTTATTGTGTTAATGAATGCTGCATTTTAATTTCGTTTAATACATTTTCATATATTTTGTTGTCCTAAATTGATTCATTTTCTTTCATTAAAAAAATGTGAATAAAGCGACCTCTTGCCAACACTTTGGAAACCCACATAGCCTTGTGGACCTTTTATACCTTTTGTACAAATGTAAATGCATCATAGAACTGGGGGTGTTCACCAACAGCTCAAACATGCACGTTATTATGCAAGCACTGCAGTCTTCGAGTCAAACTAATTTGATTGCTCACGATCCATGAATGCCGCACTGATGAGCAGATGTTTGCCTGCAGGCAAGCTCAGGCATGCAAATGCGACTGCTGAAACAGGAATACTTCCTTCCTGAATCTTATAGTGAGCTGATTTTATTAACAGGACAGGGCCATGTTTATAAAAATATAAACATAAAAACCTGGACTTGATTTATCCCAAATAAGTCTGAAATTTCCTGCTGAACATGTGGCCAAGAAACTATTTAAATACGCTTAAATGCTATGCAATTACGTTTTTTTTAATGACCACTGAAAAAGAGAATGCCAATGTAAATTGAAAGCCACAATTTTCAGGCGCACCACCATAAGGCACTCTCATGATACTATAGGCAAACTGAAATTCCTTCATCTCCGTTAATACAACACAATATAATGTTTTTCTCCCACCTTTCATTCAATACAATGTTTTTTCCACCGAGGAATGCGATTCAATTAAAGAATCAAACATTTGTTTTTAGATTGTTGTAAATGTAACAGCTACGAGTGGTTGGAGGGGCACACTGCAAATCCCATTGTGCAGGTGGGAATTTGAAAGCAAACATAGCAGTTAAATGTTCTGTGATACAAGTGTAATAAAAGACTCCGTCAGGCCTCCGTTTGTCTTTTATTTAGGTTCTTCTCCGCACCCCCCACTGGCCTCCTCTCGGACCAGTGTCGTCGCGTGCGCGCCCCGCGCACGTTCCCTCTCGCGTGCCACGCACGCTCTCTCTCGTGTCGCGTGCCACGCACGCTCTCTCTCACGTGCCACGCACGCTCTCTCTCACGTGCCACGCACGCTCTCTCTCACGTGCCACGCACGCTCTCTCTCACGTGCCACGCACGCTCTCTCTCACGTGCCCCGCACGCTCCTCCGTTAGCTCCTCTATTGCCGCACTCCGCACACCGCTGACCGACAGCGTGCAGAGGTCCTTCGGCCACGTGGCCGATGGCGCGGATCTTTCCTCACCACCCAACGTGAATCAGCCTCTTAACTTCCCCGACTGCCCCGATCTCTTCCGGGCTCCCACTTATATACATTCCCCCCACGTGACCCTGACTCCTCCCCTTCCGGATCCTCAGATCCGGCCTTCCAATACTACCCCGCTGGCTCCGCCCCCATTCACCTCGCCTCCCATTGGAGCCGAGGTGAACGGTGGCCCCTCCCACACGCCCCGCAGACCAGGCTCCGCCCCCCAATACCCCGGGCCGTGTGATTGGACCCGAGCCCAGCAACAACCCCATTTACGCTCGCATTACACGTGTTATAGTCTGAGTGGTAGGTTGTAAGTTTTTTTTTTAAGAAGTACATTTTAACTTTCATTTAACAATGAAACAAAATAGCAGATCAAAGTTTTTTTGGGATGAGTTTTCATGTAATAGTGATTAAATAGAATCCTTCTTGCCGTTCTACCTCCTACAGACACCAAATTGAAGACTCCATCTCAGCATGATCCACCATCCCGATCTCTTTCAGGTGGCTAGTTTAAAAAGGTATAAACCAATAGCACCTGGTATAAACACCAGGTACTGGACAGAATAATTGACAAATTACTGCTGGATTAGACAATTCACGGATTAACAAATGCACTACAATTCCTGTATTAAAATAAATTACTGTATTGCAAGTTAGTAATTTTAATAAGTGTGATACTCACGTGGGATAGGAGTCTGTGAGTGTCTCGAAATGGTCAGCAGAGACCGACGAGCAAGCATCCTGGAAGCCATTATGAACCGCAGCTCACAGCAGCAACACCAACCAGCCGCAGAACGTTCTCTCAAGCGTGCTGCGCCGACACCCTAGGAAAAGCACACACACAGGTCATTACCAGTCACGATCCATCCACTGCTGGATTAAGATCTACCCAAGTCACTGCCATATGTGGCTGTGTAAGGACAGTACGGGCCCTAGTGGCCAAAAACAATGATTGCAGCGATGAGGACAGGCAGGGACAAGTGAGATAACTCTGGGTGAGGAGTCAACGCGGGGGTAGAGATGGAACCCCCAGGGTGTTATAGTGAGGCAAAGGAGAGAGTTCGGGAAAAAGGGGCGTGGCAGAGCCGAGGGGAAACAAAAGGCAGCGCGGAGCAGGGCTCGGGGCTGCTATGGGGATTCGGGGTCCGGACTGTCGTGGCTGTCATCACGGTGGATCGCCCTCATCGTCTTGGAAGGCTGGGAAAGAAGTTGTATATCTTCGCCGTGGCTACTACATCGACGGATCCTATACAGTAAAACCTTGGATTGCGAGTAACTTGGTCTGCGAGTGTTTTGCAAGACAAGCAAATTTTTTAAATTAATATTAATTTGATAAACGAGCGAGGTCTTGCAATACGAGTAGCTTTGTCTGCCGAGCGTCACTTGATCACAACTGATATACGAGTGCTTTGGATTACAAACACGTTTCCGGAACGAATTATGCTCGCAATCCAAGGTTTTACTGTATATATATATGTCAGTCAGCTATATAGTGAATGTCGTGTAGCAGCTACGTACAGTCACCCAGTTGTATAGAGTCAACCTGCGTCCACCTGATAACATGGTCGAGTCAGGTGGACTGTAATATATAATAAATATATATATAACTTAAGCAAGACAGCGTCGCTGAGTGCTCCATTACATCTGCACACGAACCGATTTCAGACCCCATTTTTTTGTACAGATAGTCCGAGTTATGACGGTCCGACTTACGATATTTCGATCTTACGATGGCAATAGCGATATGACAAAATTGTAAAATATTTTAAATTTCGCGCGGCAGGCAAACACAGCAGCGTACGAGGTACGATGCATTCAATGCATGTTAAAAGTTATTATAGCAGATAGGATTGTTTCCTGGAAAAACTTTCTATTAAATTACAGTTCATATAGGTAGGCTAAGAATGTAACTTTTTTTTTACTTTACATTTTACTGTGCAATACAGAATTGTAATTAATAAATACATACAGTGTATAGTTTATATAGTACGGTACTGTAAATTGCTCTGTTTTGCTAAATTATCACCATTCTTTAAACTCCTGGGTAGGCTAGGCTAGGCCATCCTCAACTTACGATATTTTGACTTACGATGGGGTCGTCGTAACGCATCTCCATCGTAAGTAGATGACTACCTGTAATGTGTTTCCCAAGCTTATTTTTTAAAATCCTTTATATTAAGTTCACTTGCGCATTTGTTTGCTTGCTCACGACCGTGCAAATCTTTCGGTCGTTTTTTAACCCACTTCCCGTGATCCAATCGAGCTGACATTTTCCACACACACTCGTTGTGCGTGACAATTAATGTTCGTGAAAAACATTTTCAAAAATGTTACACTTTTTAGGACTAAAATATTATATTTAATTACCAATTGCTTAATGGTTCCATGCAATCATCTGACCCATAGGTGGCAGCCATCTCAAGCCAGAGGACGAGAGGACTCTAGCCGCCACGCATATAAAGGATTTATAGTGAAAAACTTTGTTTTTACGGGTTATACTTGTTTTTATTAACAATCAATGTAACATGCGTATGTTCTCTAATGCATGTGTTCCCCTTCCTGTCTCTCATTGTGATTTGAAGTATACACACATGAACATAAGCACTTCTAAATCACTGTTTATGTATTCTTTAAATGGCAAATTTCCTCCAACAAAAGCAGATATTCTTCATAGCTAATGTTGTTAAAGTTGTGGACAAAAGGTCAAGAGATTTTGTGAACTTAATCACTGTTATCAAGGCAGATTATAACCGCTAAACTGACAGTAGAATTAATCATTCAACTTATCAGAGATTTGACTGACATTTCAGGAATCAATTCTTTGTCTAAGTGTTATTGTTTAGTTTGTATCGTTTTTCATCAAGTTTCTACGTGTTTATTTGCTCCAATAAGTCCTCAAGTTATATTATTAATTGCATATCATGTTCAAAAATCAACCAATTCTCACATGCATGATAAGATGCATTGTTATGTACCCAGTAATGAATTCCACATTTTAACAGGAGGCAAAAGTATTACGTGCAGCAAGCCAGCAAGAATATACAATTCACATGGTCAGATGAACAGATATGTAATAGGAGTAAGAAGCCAGATGGGTGAATGATGCGAGGCAACAATGACAAAAGTATTTGTACCGACAGAAGAGGCAATGGGTGACAATAGCGCGAAAGGATAAGACGGATAATGCATTATATGGAGCTGGACATAAATTCAGTGAAGAGCTTTTGATTAAATTCTGTCTAGAAATGTTCGAGTTAAGGAGTTGTATTCCATTCTGAAGATGATGTGTAGCATGTTAGGAGTTGATGCTTACTAAACAGATTTTGTGCAGATTACAGGGTAATCGTGGCATGTAGCAAGATTAATACGATACAAATTTGCGGATTACGAGGCTGTATTAGTCTATGTAATGGATATTTTTCAACATGTTTTAGACGCTGTGACCAGATAATTTCAGCACAGCTAGTTTTTGCTGATGCATACAACATACACATTGCTAAGTAAAACAATTAAAACGTGCTGCCTTTCCCTGTAGTTTCACTCCTGCAGCTTCAAGTGAGTCCCACTCACTCTATTGGATCACAATTTGCCGTCCACAAAGCATGTTTAATCTGCTGTGGTGTGCCGCAGATTAGCGGAGGAGTTTCGAACCGATCATTATCCGCAAATTACAGCCATATGTGGATTATTGGCTTTGCGCTTTATTGTAATGTATCTATATAAAACTTCGTTCGCACCGTACGTAGCCACCTGTGATGATCGGAGGTGGAGGAGAACGAATCGGAGGTGCAAGGGAAGGAAATCAGAGGTGCGGGGGAAGTCGCGAGCAGAGTTTGATTCGCGCCTCTGAATAACATCAGTCGAGAGGGTTACTTGAACCAATTTGGGTGTCCCACGTTTTCACTAACCAGACTAAATAACCCCCTTAACCAACATTTGTATTAAAAGGAGTCTCTAACAAATTTCGATTTAAAGCTTTCGTGACTGCAGGGATTCATATTCTTGGTTATTTCGGTAAAGTCACGTAGAAGGGAAATAATAAAATAATAAAAGACAATTTGTATTGTAAATTTTTTTTATTTTATTATTTCCCTTTTACGTGACTATACCGAAAGAACCAAGAATATGAGTCTCTAACAAGTTGGTGAATAAAGTATTCTACTCTCATCAAGTGTCACACACATGGCACTGCATATAGATTATATAACAAAAACAATCTGCATAGAAAATTAGATGATAATGCCCCATACACTCTTCTCTTTGGCAATAGGGCAAGTTGCATGGTTGGCTGATGAATGCTGACGGTCTGAAAACAATCCAAGCCAATGCTTTCTGTATTTCTACATGATTGGTAGTTGGAGAAAACAAGATATTTGATAAGGTCGTTTAAATGTGAATTTTCAATCTGCACTTTGGCCGAGAAATGGATGCCCAGCCAGGAAATGAAGTGTTCATAATTTCTAGCTGGCAAATGATAAAGGTCAGCTTTATTAACTGCTTTCGAAATCACTCGCACACGGCTCTATCAATATAATTTTATATTGCTGCTTATGTACTGTCAAATACAAGTGTAAGTCAGACGTCCATATCCAGCATACAGGAATGCATTGACGGATTGCCAAAAGAGAGAACACTGCATAGCACACTGAAATAAGCTTGTACACAGGATTGTTGCATCACAAGACTCAAGAGTTTGCTCCGGATTGGGGAGGCGTTCATCAAACAGTGGATAGATCATGGCTGACAAGCTGTATATAATAATCTATATTGCGTACTGTATAAGGATACAACTAAACCACGATATCTGGTTCTGCAATACTCTGTATTATTCTCTAAGTGGTGAAACATGTCATATATTCACCACACCCACAGATGATACAGAATAATCAGGCAGGGTTGTTGTTCAAACAAATGGGGGGTGATGCTCATCTTCTGTTTACAGCCCCCGGGTAGCATTGGAAATTCCATGTTCCTATGATGGGCATGATAGTAATTACATGAGTCAAACAAAACTGACCTCCCAGTACGGAACTCGTTATATTGGCGTCAGGAGACACAAAGTTTTGATATCCAGTACTCTATGGGGCGACATAAAGACAAAGATCCCCCGTGTAGCCTCGACAGACTGTAGGGGCAAGTGCTGTTAGCGAGCACCTATGAAGGCCGGCACGGCACCACGAGGGGGTGTGTGGCCAGCACAATGCCCGACCGCCTTTGTCTCCCTCATACATCACACGACCCGGTCACATAATATTGCATTGATCAGTACGATGGTACATTTACCCAAACCCGAATGTTGTCATGGGTTGCCACCATTTGGGTCGGCAATCACGTTGTGTGTTTAACACTAGTGCCTGCAGGAGTGGCATGAGACAATTACGAAATATCGATTTACACCCCGTAGAATGCCATACTGTACGTATAAGGATATTCCCCACCCCAACCCATTTAGCCTCTCAGACTGTTGCAGCAATGATTTATACCTATTATTGACAGTGTGGCCGGCTCCACGTCTGCGTGGCCACCCCTAGTCGGTGCATGCTCATCCTTCACCACATCAGGTACTCATTTAAGGCTGAGTCGATCTAGGGGAGGACGGACCTCCAACCGGTTCGGGATATCGATCTGGGAATAGAAGCTCGGTTGGCAGGAGTTGGACCACGTTGAATAGTGCACCAACCGCTTCTCGTTACGCCGAAATGTACACAGCCTTCTGATGAATCTGTTAACAAAATGCATTGATTTGTATTGTATCGTTATTGCTATTACACAATTGCAGCGAAAACCCGATATCGAAACATAGAATAACGTGAGAACTACAGCACAATACGAATAATAATACATAACGCCGCACTATTAATGTAGTAAAGAATATAATGATAAAGAATATAATATAGTACTGTATATTAACGATACCGCAATGCGCTGTATCAAATCTAACACCACTTCACTTTGTAAATCGTACCACGTTTAAGTATTGCGAACCTCTGAGGCATTTCTCCCCGTTTGTGTAGAGATTTCAGCAATTGCAGTCATACACGGTTGTTATCTACAAAATGTTACGTACTGTCGTTATAAATACGTGATTTTAGTAACAGAGTGTAACAGCTTGCACGATTACATCACACTGTATACGGTGTGTGCACATATTTGCACAGACAGCACGTATACTTGAATAGCTTACACATTACAATTTACACTCGATTCAGAATACATTACTACACGTGTGGAGTAATGTATTCTATTGCAAGAAAGAGATGCGTTGTCGCAATATAGTAGCGCAGTTATGTCACGGATTGTTTTTAATGCACGCATTATTAACCCATGTGCCCAAATTAATTACCCTCATATGAAGCAGATACTGAGCTCTGAGGCAGACAATATTATTTGACATAGATACACACATGTACACGGTACATTTGTTGTATACGAATATAGGGAAGGAATACTTGTATAGCTTACACATTACAATTTACACTCGATTCAGAATACATTACTGCACGATCTGCGTGTACGTGGCGATGCGGCTGCTCACTCACCACTCACTCGCTACGCAGCAGCAGCAGAATGGCCAGGAGCCTTCCCCCCACGCCGCCTTTATATACAGAGGGGGGAGGGAGAGGGGGGGCGTGACACACACGGGGGGGAGGGGGGGAGTCACACACACGGGGGGGAGGGGGGGGGAGTCACACACACGGGGGGGGGGGAGTCACACACACGGGGGGGGGGGGAGTCACACAAGGGGGGGGGGGGGGAGTCACACAAGGGGGGGGGGGGGGGAGTCACACACACGGGGGGGGGGGGGGGGGAGTCACACACACGGGGGGGGGGGGGGGAGTCACACACACGGGGGGGGGGGGGAGTCACACACACGGGGGGGGGGGGGAGTCACACACACGGGGGGGGGGGGAGTCACACACGGGGGGGGGGGAGTCACACAAGGGGGGGGGGGAGTCACACACGGGGGGGGGGGGGGAGTCACACACACGGGGGGGGGGAGTCACACACACGGGGGGGAGTCACACACACATGGGGGGGGGGAGTCACACACGGGGGGGGGGGGAGTCACACACGGGGGGGGGGGGAGTCACACACGGGGGGGAGGGGGGGGGAGTCACACACGGGGGGGGGAGTCACACACACATGGGGGGGTCACACACACGGGAGGGGGGGAGTCACACACGGGGGGGGGGGGGAGTCACACACACGAGGGGGGGGGGGAGTCAGAGTCAGACACACGGGGGGGGGGGGGGTCAGAGTCGGACACACGGGGGGGGGGGGGAGTCAGAGTCACACACACGGGGGGGGGGGGGAGTCACACACACGGGGGGGGTCATACACCAAGTGCACGCCGTGTGAGCGATGGGGGGGTTAGAGGTTGAGAGAGTTGTTGTGTTGTTGTTGATTCGCGATTTGCCCTACGCTGCGCTACGAACCCGACGACTCCAGTTCGATTCCAGCTCACCGCCACCAACACCAGCGATTACCTGAACCGGTCCTGGGCCTCCTCCCCTAGGTCGACTCAGCCTCAAATGAGTACCCGGTTCGGTGCATACGTGTGGGGTGGTTCTTTGTTGGAGGCAGGCTGTGGGAGAGGACCAATGCTGCTGCTGCTTCTGCCCGTCGATGGTTAATCGTTCATTGCCTCTCTCCCCTTACACGACAACTATCGGAGCACAAAGACAAAGACTGCTGCTGTTGGGGGGCGGGTGCTGATGGCCAGCACGGCACACGGTGGATGGGGTTGGGTGGGCGGGCAGCAACCACGCCCAGTCCTGATGCATCGACAAACAATTACAAACGTAATTATAATCGATGTATTAAAAAAAACTAATGGTATATAAATACGTTGAATGGAAAAGCTAATACGTTCAATTTCGATTTAAAGCTTTTGTGACTGCAGGGATTCATCTTTTTGGTTCTTTCGGCAAAGGCACGCAGAAGGGAAATAATAACATAATAAAACATAATAAAATAAAAATGTAAATAAAATTCCCTTCTACGTGACTTTACCGAAAGAACCAAGAAGAAGAGCTATATGGGGGTTGTTTGACCATACTTCACCACTCTGGTCAGTGTGGATTGGTAAATGGTTGGGGTGGGGGGAGGTTCGGTTCCCCAGGACCGGTCCGAAGCAATTACTCTTCAGTATTGTAAATCATATTTACAGAACTGTATTAAAACGATGTATTGTTCTCATCAAACACGTGTAAAACCACACACATGTGTACGGTATTTAAACAAAAATGAACACAGGATATTGCAGTCGTGTAGTGCACACAATCACAAGTGCGCACGTCAGCATTGCATCCTGTGGGTTAGACAAGATCGTTACACTTATCGGGGTCTTTGCAGTAAGCACGTTGCAAAGCTGTGAACAAAAATGTGTGCACGAAACACTGCGTTTTTGTGTAGCACAAATATCTGCACGCACAAGCCAAATTGTGTTTCTTCCAAGTGCTGCCAATCCACCGTACGCGTCTCGCAACGTGTTCGTCTTGCCCACCCATTCATTCCCTCTACCCCTTCTCTCGCCCCATCATGTCGACCCACCACCTCCCCCTTCCTTCCTCTTCCTCCACCACCCCCAGAGCCGGTCTGACCCAGCTTAAACCGGTGCCTAAGGGGGTCCCTCCTGTTCCTTTTTTTTCAGGATTGGGGCTCCTCTTTCCACTCGTTCACGGTCACAGTCATCAACTCCAAAGCTCTTTAACATGCACGCCGTGTTTTACAAGCAGATACAATGACACAATACTCTGTGCTGCAGACGACACGAACACATTACATGCATGCACACACAAAATTATGAATATCTATACCAACATACCACACACGCGCGCGGGCATATTGGGCATCATACAAGCGATATGGCCACACGAATGCACACTGACGTCATGCACACACGCACACAGCGACATGAATACCCATACCCTACATACATGCACCACACATGCATAGTGACACACACACGTATGAATAACACTTGTACACGGCTGTCGACAACCTGAATGAGCCACAAACACCAATGTACACACACAAGACTGGCTTATGTATATAAAGATGTATGCATGCACGCATATATATGCCCTGCGTATTGCATGCGTACGCAATAACGTACACGCATGCAACCATTTATGCATATTGCATTCGCATTCCTATGCGTTCATACATAAATATCCGAGTATGACGTGTGCTCACAGAGTGATAAATACAGTGAGATATTAAACGCTCCCACGTAATTTATCAGAAATCTGCGAAATAAATTTTGCATAGAGCACGCTGCAACCCAGGAATGACGTGTGTGTGTGTGTGCTGTATGTTTATCGTTTTCCTACCTCATGGTGTTTAATTATAATCCGCAATATTTTCCCCCAAATGGGATTTCTGAACAGAGCTCTCTGATGTCAGAACTGGACTACACACTGCAGGGTGTTATGTAATTGTCATAATCTGCATTAACACCATTTAAAAAAAAATATGCACACGTACACTAATGTTTCCGAAAATATATTCACGAGTAAAATTAAATGTTAATGTAACGTTTTACCAACTGTTAACACGGTTGTATTGTATGTTAAATTAATCGTACAGAAATGTTACATTTCACCAGCATGGATTCTTCTGAAAATATATAGATTCAGAATACAAAATGGACATTTTTCTGACTGCATTTGCTGCCTTGTCTGTGAAATTACAGCAATCAACAAATAATTTCGTTATCTGTGGATCGGCTCCTCTTCGTGAACTGACAATGTAATAATTGGTGTAGAGAAGGGACGATTTTTTTTAGTGGTGTAAAAAAAGGGAAAATGAGTTGCTCTTTTTAATTAGTCTTATTAAATACTACAAGTGGATGAAGTGGAAACTCATATTAAACCCTTATAATCTGGCTGACCTCTACTGCACAAGTCACCTGCCCATCATTCTGCTTCCCCTATTAGCATACAGTATATTCTATACATGTGTAATAACCGTGCGCCATCTCCGGAGGTTACATTTACATACTGTCATGCAGTCCACGCACTATCAGTAGTACGGATTCTATCTAGGGGAAAGGTTAATGGGCGGATCTAGTATGGAGACCTCTGGAACACTCCCGAAGGTTCCTATAGGGGCGTGGCCATAGGCGGGGTTTAGCTTCGGAGAAGAGAATATAAGCAGAGGGTACAGCAACGTTAGGGGTCGGTGTTTGAAGATCGAAGAGGAGCTCCCTGCCGCTGCTGCCCCGCCATCTCCACCTTCCACGTGGCGGCTCGACCTCCAGCCGCTTAAGCCGCTCCCCAGCGCGCCGTCAGCCGGCGGTGCGGTGGAGAGTGGGGAGAGCGCCACGTGGCGTGGGGCAGCGCAGCCACGAGAACGGGTTGGCATCCGCGGAACGAGAGGAGTGGCTGTACCGAAACTTGATTATATATTCCGAAGTTACTTACTGTGTCGGAGCCACTTATTACAGTGGTGTCAGGCAGTGGACTTTTTCTGGCGGTGCTCTACTGAAGAGGCGATGTCCAAGCACCAGAAAAAGAAGAATACACCTGCGGTGTCCTCCGACGACAAGGCAGCGACACAGCTCCTGCCGACCCCGGGTCCCGTGGTCCCGGTTATAGAGCCCACGGCGAGTGCGGATGTCGCACCTGCGGCAGACGGCGTGGCAGAGTATCCCGCATCAGCTTCGCCCTGACGATCCGTAGCGAAGGGTGGAGACGCAGCTGGGCGCTTTGACGACAGCACTCCTACACCTCATCGCTCTCGTCACACCGATCGCCGCTGGAGGAGGTCCGGTGGCGGACCATCCGGGGGCGGACGTACAGAGGCCCAGAGATGGTGCCTCGGAGGGTCTCCCCTTAGTGGATACGGCCGCCATCCCAGGCACGGTGGAGACGGCCGCCATTTCACAGTCCCTGGTGAACACGCTTCTCACGACCGCCATTTTGACCACCGCGGAGGAGAGCGGTGGGGCAGCCGCCATTTTGTCGCTGCTGCGCGGCGGGGCGCCGAGCATCACGACACCCGCTGCGAAGGAGAGCCACGAGGTGGAGGAGCGCTTGCCCCAAGTTCGAGAGTTTGTGTAGTGACACAGCGCTGACTGCCGTCCAGCAGCGGCAACTGCGGTAGACAGTTAGCGCACACGCCGTCGAGCATATACATGGGTGTGCCGGCAGGGCGGAGGAACTGGGGCAAGGGTCACGGAAGACCTCATAGGGAGGCTCCTGGAACCCTCTAGTGGGTTCGAGAAGGGAGGTGCGGCTAGGGCGGAGCCAGGCCGCGCCGAGTAGAATCAAAGCAGCAGAGAGCGAGAGCTCCGGGCTGCCGGTTCTGGGAGTGGACTCGTCTCATCGTCGCTGCCGCCTTCGGCACCTTCGTCGCTGCCGCCTTCGCCCGATAATCGGCTGTCTCGGTCGATGCCGTTGGTGCAACGCGGTCAGGGTTGTGTCTAGGCCGGGCTGTAAGGCAGCGTGGTCGAGAGAGAGGAGGCCGGAGTTGGTGTAATGGGAATAAAGAGAGAGAGGAGTGATGGTGCCTCCAGAAACTACCTCGTCTCCGAGTGAGTGTGTGCGCCACACACCCACACGCACACCGAGGAGGACACTACACAT